TTACATGTAAAGCTGAGTATGAATGTTTGCCTGTCTCTCTGTGTCAGTTCTGTGATGCTCGGGTAACTCATCCAGAGTATACCCTGCCAGTAGTGACAGGGCTCCTTGTTAAGTTTTAAGGATTTTAGTACGAGCACATGTGTTTTGAGCTTGAGTATCAGTGAGTCAGTAGGTTTAACAAAAACAAAAAATAATAATCTTCTGAAATAAAAAATAATGTTACTGGTGTAAGGTAGATGTTTGTCATCTGATACTGATAGCTGTAATGATATAATGACCATGATTTACATACATCCAAAATGACAAACAAGTTATTGCCATGTGTTCAGTAGTCACGTGTCAGCAAAACCTCAATTATGGAGACCCACCAGAGTCAGGATTGGCACAGCCTTAAAACAATCTGATCCTGTGTCAGTGTCCCTCAGGCTGTTTCCGCTGAGTTATATCTTATTACATCTTATTTAAATACCTTAGTTATTTACAATTATTTGTGTGCATCTGACACAATATATAACTTCATATATTACTTTTAACTCAAAATCAATGTATTTATACATATTTAGACAAGTAAGTTTAATTTAACTGGTTTGCAGTGGCAGTTCAAATGTAATTCAAACCCAATGTTTGGATCTAGACGTTTGGCACATTGATTCACTGTGTCTAATAGCTGTTGTGGCTTAAAGCAACTAAGTCATCTTCATCTCCTGGAAGTAAAAATATTCCTGAACCCTTTGTTCAGGGACACTTGCAGAAACTTGGGGCTGCTATGTTATGAATTTGTCAAGTCTAAACTACTAGCAAATAACTGCCAGCAATACTGAGAAAATATTCATGCTAATCTTTTAAGTTACTTTCATGACACAAGCCGTGCATTTATTTTTATGCTCTCTGCTTTATGCATATTTTAGCCTGTGGCTGAATTCACTCAGTATGCATTATATAGTACCATTTATTTACTTATTCCCCAAAGTAATGCACCACATTTAACAACTTTTAGAATGACCCTTTATGCAGCTGTCAGTGATGATGCAAAATGATGATGAATAGTGCCTGAAATGTCAGTGAGTCAACAAGAGTATTTTGCTTAAAATGGTTTTTGGACCCAACCATACCAAATGTTGCTAAAATACTATAGTCATTATTATTAGACATAGCTCTTAATAAATCTGTGTATATTTATATACCTCTTTACTCTGGCATACAGTCAGCTTGCCTTTTGTGAAAGCATGTTTTTTTAACCTTCATCCATGTGATTTTGGCAGCAGCAGCTATGTAAAGGCTGCATCTCATGTTTTCTAAATGTCAAGGCTCTGTTGAGATACAACATGTAGCATCTCTGCCTTTCCTGCTGACTTTTTGACATGACAGTGGCTCGTCCCAGTGCTACCGACGGGTTGATAACTTGACAGACTGCCATTAGGGTATTACTGTGATGTCGCATGGGGATTGTGAGTCATGAACACAGGGTTGACCCACTTCCTGATGATCCCACACCTCCTAACAGGAAGTGGCATTCACTTTTAAAGCAAAAAAACCCTGCACTGATGCTTCCTGTGTGTGGGGTCAAGGCTGTATGCGTATGTCAGACTGAAGCATGGCCGTTGTGTTTAACACCAAGGACGTTTTGAGTAGGTGAAGTTTGAAGCATATCCCGGTGGAATTTATAGCTGCGCTGTGGATGTTCATAACAGTCTGTGGTTGACAGCTCCGAGCTCATACACATGCAATGCAGCAGCTCACAGAGAGCACAGGATGTCAGTAAGATGAAGCTACGCACTGAGGGCTTTAAGCTGTTTTTTAATATTTCACATTTGACAAAGTTTACTCTTGATCACTCTGGAAATCCATCAAATAGGCAACAATGGGGCTTCCAGTGTAACCAGTGGACCAGCATCTCCTTTTCTCCCAATTGTTCATATATTTATAACAAGTTAGTAAAGGGGTAAGTCACTGTCAAAAGAAAAAGATGGCCGTCTCATATATTTTTGCAAACCATCTATTTTTTGCCCTTTACATCCTGTTTACTATCTACATACAGTCAGTAAGGTTTAGCCTGATTAAACCGAGTGGCTAAATACTGAGGACACCAGTAAGGATACCAGGGTGTTTTTGCCTTTGTAGTACATCCTGGTGTACAAAATGGTTGTCTTTGTGTGAGAACATGTACTTGAATGGTGTCTTTGCATTCAAGCATTTAATATACATTCATAAAAACATGCTAGTCTCTCTGTGTTTGCATGCACATCTCACTGTCTGTTTGCATTAGTCCTTCAGATTTGCCCTAAATCCAGAGATAGAGGCCACAGCTGCAGCCCACAACCCTCGTTGTGCTTCACTGTGCACAGCATATTCATCTCTATGTTAGTTACAAATATGAAAATATACAAAGTTTTAGTAAGCAATGTCCATTTCTTCTGCGAAGACTTGGTTTCAGATTACAAATATCACAAGGTTCAAAGAGAATATAAGTTCACAGTTGTTTTTGTGTCTTTTGACTTTTGTATTTTAGCTTATCTCTAAATGTTCTATCAAAGTTTCTTAAAAATAGTTTAATGACTGGCTGAAGTTGATCATGAACTTTATTAATATTACATTTTAATCCTACAACAATGGAGTTTCCATCCAGTTGTCCTTTTTTTTACAGTTACAGGTATGTTGTCCCAAAAGATCGTCAGGGAATCATCCACAAGTCCAACACATTGATCCTTATCCGGTCGTTAAGTGATGACGTGACGAATCCTACTTCCGGGTCTAAAGTAGTCTGCGTTTAATATGGCTTTTGTGTTGTTAACATGTTTAATGATTTGTATTTTCTTCTATTTAATCTCAAGAAGCTCCTAAAAACAGTCAGTGATCACTGTTGACCTCCCTCGGCTTTTATTACCGCTAATCATTTATTTAAGCTCAGTTTTTAAAACCTTAGGATGTAACTACAGCCCAGCCCATGCAGCAGTATATGAATGACTAACCTCATATTGTGGATGGATTATCTCAGTTGTTCTCCAGGCTGAAGTTTGGTCCTTTTACAGCATCCTGCCATGTGATTACATTTGTTTCTGACCACCGAGAACACTCACGTTAACTTTTATCGAGTGGAAAAAAAGTTTGTTTGTTTATATTATGCTAACATAGCTGTGTCGCTAGCGGTCACATAGCACATCATTATATACCAGCTAGCCAAACTTGAGTAACCCTACAAATGTCACTGCTGTTTAGTTTTCTGTCTTCGTTAATGTTGGAAGTGATAACAGAGCTGTATGTTTTAATTTGTTTCCAAAACCCCGCAGTCAGGACATGCTATATTGTATTTAGATAGAAGCTAGCGAGCTAACTCCCTGCTAACTTCTAACTCCGTTAAATGTCATAAATTCCGTTTTCATGGATGCCTGGATGTTAAACTCAATTGTTACACCTCGTAGAGCAGAACGCTGATCATTTTATTAAAGATGAAAGACTTTAGACAGTTTTTCGACTCTCAGTAATGCCATAGTGATCGTTTCATATATGGACCTGCAGCGGAGTTTAGGCCCAGACACGGCTAGTGACGTCAGACTTAACGACTGGATAACCGTCGTTGCAACATTTGCACCTGCCACGAAGCTGTAGTGCACAGTTTTTCTGCTGATGTTGATGACAGAGGTGGTTTGGAAGGCTACAGTTATAGAGTCAGCAGAGCGCTGGTGACTTTCATGCACTAAGCGCCTCAACAGCCGGCAACCCCGCTCTGTAACTTTATGTAGCCTGACACTTTGTGGCTATGACTAAGCACTTCCATGTTGCACTAATACCACTCACAGCTGATTGTGGAACATCCAGGAGGGGAGAAATTTCATGAACTGATTTCTTGTAACCGTGACACCTTTCACAGGACCACACTTAGATTCACTGAGGTCTTTAGAACAACTCATTCTCTCACAAATGTTTGTAAAGGCATATTGCATGTCGATGGGGCTGAAAACACCTGAATTCAAAGATTAAGAGGCGTGGCCCAGAACAGAACTCAATAGTTTTGAGGACATGGAAAGTTCCATCACTGCCATCAGAAGTAGTGAAGTGGTGCCACTGTCTTCCACTGACTTCCTTTCTGGCTCACAGTCTTTAGAGAAGGGCTAAAATGAGTGGGTCATCTATCACAACAGAGGGGAGAGTGGTAAATTTATAGCTGTGAAAATAGGCCAGAGCACAGCACTGATGGAATAGATAGACTGTAATTAGGACAAGGTTAGCCTGCTTTGCTCACACACACACACACCAATGCACATCCATGTACACTATTTATTATTAATAATATAACTCACACATGCATCCAGGTATGCATACGTGTGTGTGTTCGCTCACACACACATACACGAAATATTCAATTACTTTTCACCTGAACTTGCAAAACCCTTACAACATAAAACAAAGGTATGGAAATTCTAAGATCTCAGCCAGCCGTAGGCAATTATTATCTCTCACACGCATATGTCTCACATATTCACACTTATTTACACCTTCACACCTTTCTGGAATAAACACATGCATCAGACGTTATGCTGCCACACATCTCCTCCTCCAGTACCATCTGATTACCGTTCCTCAAAGAAAAAAGGAAGAAGTATCTTCTTTGCTTTATCTAGGCACTCACTGAACTCATTGAAAAACTGACCTCATTGAACTCTTTTGCTCCCTTGGCAGCCATTTTTCTCCTTTTTTCTTTCTCTCTTTCTTTCTTTCTCTTACTGATTTCTGTTCTTTTGTTTTACTGGATTTTTACCTTCTCCCCAGTGCGCAGTTTACAACACATTGACTGATTTTCACACCTTCTCCTTCCTTTTAGATTGCTTTCATTTTCACTGCTGTCAAATCCCACACCTTTCTCCCTACAGATTTTCCCTCACTTCCTTCTGTCCCTTCCTCCTCACCAGCAGTCTGTAAGCATTCATCTGTCTTGTTACATGTCTCACACACACACACACACACACACACACACACACACACACACACACACACACACACACACACACACACACAAAGCTGCCCCCTGTCTTTCAGGGCAGTGCTGTAAGCCTATGGAGCAGATGGGCTCAGGGCTGACTGACTGAGCTGTGCTCTGACAAACTGCCTCTCTGGATATTGTTGCTCAGATGAGGGGATGATTTCCTTTCCACAGTGGCTCATCGAAAATTGTCCACCCACAGACTTGCCAATCTAGAAACTGGCAACTAGTCTAAAAATTTGAATACTTGTGCTACAGCTAAAACTTTTTTAATACAGAGTTTAGCAACGGTCTTAATATTTCCTCGATTCTTGGGTTTGCTAATTAATACACTGGGAATAGGAATTCTCGCTATGTATTAAATCAGGGCCCACATTTAAATTTGGAACTAGTTTTGTGCCAAGAACTATGCAAATTGAGTAATATTAATTATAATAGGAATTACTGAAATTTGTATTTAGGGTTTTTTCACTGTCAGTCAGTTTCATGTCAATGTCAGTGCACAGGCTTGTGCTTTTATATATTTTTATATTTGTATATGAAAAATACATTAATGTCCTAGACATTATACATTTACTTGCATTTTTCTGTTTTATAGTGCTATTTTACTCTTACCCACACATTCCACGTGTAATCCGTATTATATTTCTGAGTTTACTAGTTTATGTCTTATTTTCTACATACTGAGAAAGTATAATTGTCTTAAAGATAAAATCTTGAGCTCAAGCATAAAAACTATTGTCATTGTTTCAGATGTCTGAGTTGTTGTTTTCATCTTCATTTAAATCATCATTTGAAGTCTAAACAATTTGAATTTAAAACCCACGATTCCATGAATGAAAAGCACAAAATATAACTCGACCGGCATATTGGCCAATTTTTAGCTATTTGCCAATGAATCTGTATCAGGATCATTAAGAGATAACGAATAAAAATTAAGAAAGTAAAGGAGAGACAGGAGAAGCACACTCTGACCCCATTATGAGTGTTGATGTTGTTTAGTTTGTCCTCCAAGTAGTGAAGCAGAGGCAGTGAAGGTGCATGACTTTAAATGGCAGGGGTCAACCACAGTGCACAAGAGAGGTGAAGAAGACAGCCAGGGTACAGGGGTTAAAAATCAGTGTGAGTGGTTATTTGTTGACAGAAGGATGGCAATGGCAGTGACGACTTTATTTATATATCAGATTTTGTTATACTTAAACTACTTGTACTTAAACCCACCTCTTAATACAGAAGATAAAAACATAAACACATAAGTAGGTTTACAGTGTATTAAGGATAGCAGCAAGAGTGAAAGGGACGGTTTAGTGAGACCTGCTGTGATGTTTGGTACAGAGACACTGCTGCTGACAAAAAGACTGGTGGCCAAGCTGGAGGTGGAAGAGCTGAAGATATTAAGATTTTCATTGGGAGTGACCAAGATGGACAAGATTAGAAATGAGTGTATCAGAGGGACAGTTCAGTTGGAGCAATTTGGAGACAGACAGGCAAAGTTGAGATAGTTCCAACCTGGGAAAAGGACGGATAGTGGATATATCAAAGAAAGCATGTTGAAGATGGAACAGGAGGACATGCAGAGGGTTGGTGTCAGAGAGGATGCTAGGAATAGGGCAGGTTGGAGGCAGATGATCCGCTGTGGCGACACCTAATGAAGAAGCAGAAAAAGAAGTTAACACTTCCTGAATCAGAAGAATCCAAGCTGAAGTACAGTAGGTTCCTGAAATTATCCAACCAGTCCTTCATCTGTCTATCCATCCATTCTCTTACACTTATCCGATTCAGGGTTATTGGGGGGCTGGAGCCTATCCTAGCTACCACAGGGTGAGAGCTGGGGTACACCCTAAGCAGGTCTGCCATAGTGTTTAATTGTGAATTTATCTTTATTTGAAATCCACACACATTGTCCGGAATCACACTGACACATTAAAAATCTGCAACAGATAAATTATTCTGTTAGCTCTGACTTGAACAAGTGAATTGTCAGGATAAATACTTCCACATGCTGTATAAAAACATCAAAAAATAATGGAACTCGGCAGAAACACCAGTACAGCTTGTGTTGAGTGTGTCGCCCTCTTCTGGTTGACACCGTGAATTGCCTGTAGCCCTGACATTGTGATGGCTGAGAAACTGAGTAAGGTCATGAATTGGACACAATGCCAAACACTCCTTCTCCCATTGGAAGAGCAGATGGCAGCTCCCCAGTGCACAAGGCAGGGAGATGCCACCACCAGACGCTCAAGGGTGTAGAAGCACACACGAGCACAAGCGCATTAACATTCTTGGTATTCATGCATTTGTGTGCGCACCAGTAGTATACACTCGGAGCACACAAATGCATGAATACCAAGAACGCACACACGCGGACTCGTGTCTAGGACCCAGCTAACAGAGGCTTGACCTAAATTCCTTAATTTCCCATGTCTGAGGGTTGAATTGTCTCTTCGCCTTTCTGTCACACAGTGAAGTAAAGTTGTGGCAGGTTTGCATCATAAGCACTCACATCACTGGTTATATGTCACGTATATACATTATCTGCCAAGCTTTATTTTGTTTAATGACAGTCATAGTAACATGCAGTGTCTACCAGTCCCATTGAGTCATGATGGTGAACTCAAGGCACCACGTTACCCAATGTTTCCATGTAAATCTAACTATAATATCTACTTTTCCACTGTAGCACAGAATGAACTATAGCTTGAACTTGAATGATTAATGTCATTATAAAGTATAAGCCTCTGTGACATGCACTGGTAAGCATCTCTATTTAAACCAAGCCTTCTAATAATAAACACTTCATTAGCACTTTTGTTAAATACGGATGCACTGCAATGATCGTCTGCTCAAAACATACAGGAAATGTCAATTAGCAGACAAATTTGCTGTGTGTATTTCACCACATATCCTCGATTAGAGTGCTTGAGATCCTGGGCATTTAGGCACACAGATTTGTCACGTTGCCTCCAATACATAATAATAATGCGGCTATCAGTGTCAGTTTGAGCCATATTGGTTGACACACTGAGGAGGGTATGCTAAGCTTAGCTGAGTGGCATGTCACGGCAGGATATGAGTTAGCTAATGTGGTGTAAAAGGATTTAGAGGATTTGACCCTATCAGCGGAGATGGCACTCAGAAAGGCTCTGTTAATGACACTAAATGAGTCTGTGCCTGGAGCATGCTAATAATGGTGGAAATAAAGCCAGTTCATAATTTATATGGAGATTTTTTTTGTTGCAATTTCTTTTTGGCAAATGGTTAATTGCAAAAAGTGTGTCAACGTGGTGCATACTTTTAAAGGTGAAGTAACACCAAATGTTTCGGTGCCTTCTCTGAAACAATGAATTGTAATCAACTCAAATTGCCCTTCAAATGAGGTGTAATTTTTAGGTGAGCTGCTTTGTCATCACTTATTGCCTGTCTCACACTGCACTGTGCCATTATCTGATTTTGATGCATGTTTGTAGCTCTCCTAAGGTGATAATAGAGATTTATAGCAAATATCTCCTCGCCATTTCTCCAAAGAAACTGTCTGATTGATAGAAACAGAGAAGAAGAAATGTCTGTTTCTGGTCTGGTGGTTGATTTCCAATTTGACTTTCAAATTTTATGAATAGGGAAGTGGTATAAAAAGCCATTAACTGCTAGGCTGACAATTCACATTAGCTTTCTCAATATGGAAACTGTGAATGATGAAAATTAAAGAGCAATGTTATTTTGACGATTGTTTTTTATGGAATGTGAGTACCTGACTAAAATTCAAATGAGGGAGTGATGGTTTTTATCTGGCCCGAACCCAAAACCTCCGTAGCAAACAGCAGTCTGCGTTTGTGCAGAGCGACTGTAAGTTAATACATTTTCAGGGAACTGTTGTTGTCCTGCAGAGCTGACTTTGTCTGAACGTAATTAAGATTAAATGTACTGTGCTGAATATAAGATTAAGTTTTAACAGTATTATTAGTTTTCCTTGCATCTGCTTCGGAGGTAGTCTCTAACATTAAGACATCCATATTTTATCCCAGTTTACCTCCAGTTTACAGCGTGATATCATAATATACTAACAGTATTTATTGAAAATGGCAATTAATTCAGTAGAAATGTACGTGTTTATTAGCTGTCTGCCAAAATGTACAAAGAATTATTCCAGTTATTAATTCACTCGACTGCACCAGCAGAGATAAGGAAGCAGCATGCTTTAAAAAGCTGAAATGTAATGTACTTACAGATGTATTTACAGATGCTCGGTGGGCTTGTTTACTATTCTTTTGGCTTAAAAAGTTAGCAGAAATTGAGTAATAATAATTACACTATTCAGCTATTAATAACTACATATCCACACAGGATAACAAGCCTAATACCTGTCACTATCACCTTTGCATGATATCCCTCCATTATAATCGTTCATGGTCCATGACGAGAAGCGCCATTCTTGCTGCCCTGCCGGGCAGGGCATTGGCACAGCTTGACTAGGAGGACAAGAAGTTGTAGCTGCCAACTCCTGCCGCCCACCGCCCACTGGTCAAATCCTCTTTTACTGGTTTCACTATGACACTCTGCCCGCCATCCTTGGCTCACCATGCAAAGCTAGGACAGGAGCTTCATCACTCATGCCAGGGATACCCACTGGAGGTGGGAAGTGGAGAGAGAAGTGACAGTGGAGGAGGAGAGGGAAAGAGAAACAGATGGAATAAGAGAGAATGATACAAGCTGAAAGAAAGGGCTTTTACAGAGATTTGGCCATTGTGTATCACAACTTACCTGGAGGAGATACAGTGAGTCAGCCAGAGACAGCAGGTAGTGTTGTTAACTATAATTTTTTAAACTGCCTTAAGTGTGTAATATTATGTTTTGGATTTTTTTTATTATTATTATTAAAGGAAAGGCCACAAAATCAAATCTTCTCATGTGTGCATTTGTTTGTGGGTGCTCATGAAAGGAAATGTTTGTGCAATGATGATTGACCTTTTTTTTCTGAATGTGATTAGGCAGAAAAAGGAGATATTTGTTCGCTGGCAGCTGCAAAGACCCACATAAATGCAGAGGCGTCTCGAGGAACTCAGCGCTGTCAGCAGTTTTTCTCCTACTGATAATCTATGCCCTGACCCACAAGCTACTGCGCGCCTTTGTTTAACATGTTGTTTTTCTATCCATTTCTAGCATTTTAACACAGATGTTCACTGTGGGAGACAGTGGGAAGCTGGCTCATTCACTGTACAGACAAAAAAATGCCTTCCAGCTACTCTGTTTTAGTCTGGTTTAGCACAGAAGTGGGCGTATTTGTGTGGCCAAGCTGATATGGATGGCTGAGTTTGAGTGTTTGTGTTATGTGTTTTGTATAGTGCTGTATTAATCAGCTCTTAAACCTTTTTCCTTCTGTCTTTTTTGTTGGGTTGTTTGTCTCTCTTTTTTAGGAAATATCTTCAAAAGAATTTCTCTTCTGGCCTGGAGGTCTTCTAGAGGGTTGGACCTCCTCGCCATCATGAAAGGCTTAGGGACCAACCGCAGCAGACACCTGTCTGATTCCTGCGACACTTCTGCAGACCATTCAGAGGCCCTCTTTTCTCATAAGACCACCACACTTCCTCGCAGCCCTTACTTGCTGAGTCCCACAATGGACCACTATGGTACCATGGACCCCCACCTTTACTCTTCAGCCAACCCAAGCTCCCTTCCACCAGAATGCATGCTGCCCCTCAACAACCAGCTGTCCAACAGCAGCACCTTTCCTGGGATTCACTACAACTCCTATGACCAGTCTGATTTTTCTCCTCCTGGGGATAGTATCGGAGGAATAAGCACAGGGACCTTGGGGACCTCCATGTCCATGGGCATGGGCATGGGCATGGGGACGGGAATGGGCATGGGCATGGCAGGGCTGAGCACACGAACACCTATGATTACAAGTGGCTCAGCAACAATATCACATCATATGACCAAGAACCAGACCCCACCAAGTCTGCTTGAGTTTGATAAACAGTTACCTGGCGGCCGTGATGGATTCAGCACATTGCAGTTTCACCGAACATCTGCTGCTGCTGCTGCCAAGCAGCGTACGGACAGTCCTGGTCGTATTCGTTACATGCTGCACTCAGTGCAGAAGCTCTTTGCAAAGTCGCAGTCCCTGGAGAGCCACAACATGAAAGGAAATGTTAACGGACGGTCGACCGGCAGTGGAGGAGGTTCATCTAGTACGGAGGATGGAGGGAAGCACAATCGCAGAGCCAAAAGTAAAGATCGGGGTACAAAATCAGAAGCAACTGCCAAGCGACGGCCACGCTCCAACATGTCGGGCTACTGGAGCTCAGACGATCTGGACAGCAGCGATTTGAGCAGCTACCACAACACCATGGCCATGATGACTCTCGGGCGTCCGTCTGGCCCCGACAGCCACGGGGGGCAGAACAGATACATCCACAGTGGCTACAACACTATCAGCTCATCTAAAAGCAGCAGTGACTTAAAGTATCAGGCACTTCCTGGGCCAGGGGGTGGAGGAGGTGGTGGATTAAGTGGACTAGGTGGATTAAGTGGACCAGGAGGTTTGATGATGAATGATAGTGACTATATGAAAGGAGGGTCATGGTCCACATTAACCATGGGTCAACCAAGACAGGTTATTCAGAAGGGCTCAGCTACACTGGACAGGTCCATGCTCAAATCCAAGTCCTGTCAACAAGAACTAACCTGCAACTACCTACAGGTTGGAAGAAGGGTGAGTAGCCCACAAAGTAGAGTGGATAAAAAATTATATTCTGTCTATTTGTTGAGTGTTTACTGTATGTTTATATAAGCTATTACCATCAAGGGAAACACTTCAGTGCTTAGATAACAACATAGATCGTTAAAAACTGACTGAAGACTCATTTTGTTCACTTAATGGTGGCTATAGGGTGACTGGAGCAGCTCATTAGGTCGCAGCGGGGGTGCCAATGAAATCCCATGCCGGCGGATGCGGAGTGGTAGCTATGTGAAGGCAATGGGAGACATGGAAGACAGCGATGACTCCGAGGGAAGTCCCAAACCCTCACCAAAAACTGCTGCTCGGCGTCAGAGCTACCTCAGGGCTACCCAGCAGTCTCTGAGTGACCAGTTTCCCCCACGCAAGTAAGGGCACAAACTGAATTATTAGTTTATTACACATTAGCATAAACAATAAGGGAGAAACCCTTTGCATACAAACAAGGATCAAAGAAGAAGAAAGCGTATGGTTACCATTCATGAGAACAACTAGAAACCATGTCTGTTTCTACAGTCATGATAAGCTGGGAAAAATACAACATGTTGTTTTTAATGCATGACTATAGTCAGAAGAAAAGTTACTGATTGGCCCTTTAAAATGTATGTAGCCCAAAACACTTATTAGAACACACTGTTATAAATACTGATTGGCAAAAGCTCTTAACAATCAAACAACAGTAAAAAAAAAAATCTATGGATACATACTGAAGCCCAGCCTCAGAACAGACACACACACAAGTGCACACGTGTACACACAGTCCACGCTGCGCTTACTCACGCATAGAAGTGGTGTCAGACTCCCTGCTGCTGTCCACATGTCACTCTTACTATCATACCTCAGCTGTGATTTACCTACATACTATTGGCCATAGAAAGCGTCACTAAGATAATACGCTATACAATAGTGCGGTTTACACAATACGACACTGAGTTTTGCTTGCGTTCAGCCAGTAAATCAGCATAAATCAGCCCAATTGCTTTGACTAAGTGGGACTGTGGCTCACTTGCCTCTGAGTGACATGGTTTCTGGAGCAAAGCATTGCACAATGTGTGATGCAAGCACAGTGGGACATTGCTAATTGACTGTGCCTTTTCATGCAAGGCCAGAAAATATAGTCATATTGTTTCATTTTTATCCACAGCGATGTTACACTAATTTAAGCCACAGCTGTCATGCTTTCTAATGTATAATCAACTTTTCAAATATTGACTTGTTAGAGAAATGTATGAAATTTTAATACCCCGCGATAACATCTTTTCCCCCAGATTATCATGCTTTGACAAACTTTAGTGTATTTTGGGCTTGTTTTTGTCAGTGTCTATTACATTCATATACATACATGACACAAACCTTGATGCGATAATGTGTTGTATAGTTTCCTTTTGAGGTATCTTATGATTCTGGTTGGATCAGAGGCAGGTTGGGGGGTTGATAATCATGGGCACAGCTTACCTACCAAACACACCGAGCAATTTAAAAATCTAGAATTACGCTTGAATGACTTACCCTAATACCCCCCTGCTAATTCCTGATCGTCCAACCCTACTTTCTTCCGTTCTGCGCCTACCTGATTGGCGTGAGCAGCAGAACCCTGGAATACACCTTTTTGCAAGGGGAGCTAGATGCCCTGTGGTCTCCACTCCACAGTGTGTCCTCTCTGCACCAGCTGGGCAGGTCAATGAGCAGGTTAGTGATAGGTCTGCAAGCCACTTCTCAGGGGCGCGGTGCAGAACACTTCAGATCGGATTGGTCTATGATCAGTGACTTTGCACTGCCCCCCTCAGATGTCTGAAAGTGGAAACTCCAAATGCAAAAATTCATGTCCTGCTGCCAACAACTGCTAACCTCCCGTAAGCTTGTAAATACCATCTGTCCAGTGCTTTTAGGTGGAAAGTAGCTTCAACACTATTCAAATTAGGGAATGAGGGGGACATCTGTGTCCATACACTTTGCCATGGCATTTTACTGCCATGTCACTATCACTGTGTGCCAACAAAGAACATGTATAACATACTATTTTTAGCTTAATAAAAACCTAAACATGTTTTGTCTTGGCACCATGATGGCATAGAACGCTGTGCACTGTACATGCCTTGCCTGACATCATTGGCTTTGCATGCTGGGATGCTAAAATGACTAATGCTAAAATTAGATGAAACAGAGATGAGATTTGGAGCATCAAAGTGGGAATTAAAGGGATGACTTCAATAATAAACTTGTCCTCCTTTTATCTCTCTTTCAATTTCTGGTTTTGCTGGTCACTCATTTTCTCCCTTGATCAACGTTTTCCCTTCTGCCTCTCTGTCATCGTGCATTAGCAACAGCATATCCTGTTTACAATCATTTTCCATCAGTTTTTCTACTTAGACTTCATATCCCTAAAGGGTATCTTTTGGTTACTTCCCTTCCCAGCTGTCTTCCAGCTCTCAGAGAGTTCTCCAATAATCGCAGCCTAGACAACCTAGACTGTATTGGGAGTATAGGCTCATCTTTGCCACCATGGGACGACGATGACTTCAGCCAGGCTTGCAGTACCTTGGGCAGGCGCATGGGACAGGTCAGTGTTTTCCTGGAAGACTGACAGGGAAAATGTGGCGTCTCTTATCTTTCAGAGGTTAAAAAAATGTTTTCCATTTCTGCCTGTGTCTCATTTGCTTCCATTATCTTCCTAATGAGTTCCGAGTGCATTTGTTCTCGATCATAATTTACATCATTTGGCTCCTGGCAAACTTTCTACTCTCACATCACCAGTCAAAGACCCTTTTGTCTGCCTCGAGCTACACTCGTTTACTTAGTATAATTTACATTTTCACAGATACAGCCCGAACGGCTGTAATAAAACGAGCTCCCAGCGAACAGAGATTCCCTATTTTCTGACTGCATCTCACTGATAGTTTAAATTTCCAGTTCGTCCACTTACATAAGAACTATTAGCCTCCCAATGTCAAGGTCGGTGAGATGATGAACAACTGTGCAGCGTGGCTCTGATCTTCCTCAGTGAAATGAGGCAGTGCAGGCTATTAGTACAGGATTTACAGCCAATCTCCGACAGCTCACTCACTGCATTACAACACATTCGCCCAGTATATCAATTTAGGGTTTGAACTTACATGCACAGTAGCGAGCCATGCAAATTCATTATGCATTATATTTTTAACTTAGTGATGGACTTTTTCCAGAGCAGAAAAATTCAAATTACCTGAAACATTTACATGATTGTGCCAATGTGTGCTGGCACTCACCTTTAGAAAAGTCAGAGCAAAAGATGAATTTATATGAGCATTGAGTCACTACATGAAAAAAGTCACATCTGTTGCCTTATTGTTTGTTTGTTTTTGTTTGTTTCTTTGTTTTTAGCATTATTGTTGTACAGTTTTATATGAGGAAAAAAATGTAAATAACGGTGCAGATCACTAGAAGAAAAAATGACTTTAATGCATACAAATGTAGCCTATAAAGTAAATCAGTCTAATATATCATTATTGGACATCATAAAAATGCATTTATAGCAAATTCGACATACCCTTAACCATACACACATTTGCACAAGTGCACACATTTGGTGGTTTTACTGCACATCCAGAGGCTACTCCTAGCAGCTATTCTCAAGGCAGCCGCCTTGAGTGCGAGGAGCAGCTTCAGTGAACAAAATAACTACTGCTACATCTTGTTTTGGTTTTTTTTCCCTTCACTCTAGCTACGAGACCTAGAAAGGAGCCATCATTATGAAGACCGCAGCTCAGATTCTACATTTAGAGATTCCCGTTCCCATTCTCAGGACAACTCAGAGCCTCCAGACCTACCCATGCCAACGTGCTTCCGATCCCGCAGCCACAGCTACCTGAGAGCCATCCAGGCTGGCTGTTCCCAAGACGACGAAGTTGCATCCATTGACTCGGGCTGCTCTCCACCTCCCATTGACACCACGGTTCGCACCTACAGCACCAGCACTGGTAAGTCCCAGACTGAAAAACTGATGGTAAATTGCAGATTTTTTATAAAACGATATAGGAAGAGTCATTGCCACAAATCACAGTAATGTGTTCCCAAACTGATAAAACCATTTTCTTTCACTCCTTTTCAAGTGTGACACAATCACATGAGCCCAAATTCTTTGCTTTGCTTTGTGTTTTCCATGGTAGTAGTTTGAATGTTCATTATAACCTTGGTCTTTGGCGGGCAACTGATCCTCCAGCATGCACGCAGCGTTACATGCAGCTCAAATGCAGCTCAAATGCAGCCTTTTTTGCCCATGCTAGACGAACTTTCTGGACAATGGAAGACATGGAAAGAACAGTTTGGCTCTTACCTGAGAGCCACAGGCTTGGACAAAGAACCAAAGGAGAAACAACTTGCAATTTTTCTTCAGCGTTTTGGGACAGACAGACCACACATCCTACCCCCACGCACAGGTAACAACGTGAAACCAACCCCCTTTTCCCCCTAAAATCATTCTATCCATTTACCACTTCATGAACTACAAAGAAAAATAAATAAAATGTTTATCAGTACAAATATAAAGTTGTCAAACTGCTGGACAGAGACTAGATTAAAATCATACTCTAAGTATACATTACTGTGTAACTTGTGATTACAGGACATGGTAGCACAAGAAGACAGTGAGCAGTTTGTTTGCTAACCTAACTTTTAATTTCACAGGAATGTTTTACTGGTTGTTGACATCTCAGTGGCCCCTGATGCATATTCCTAGGCTATGGGTTACTATTAAAAAACAAACAAACGAACAACAAAAAAGCATCCACTTTGTGGCGCTCTTCACACAGTGTGTAAGTCACAGACCACATGCTGCTTTCATGGTAATGAAACTTTTCAGTGCTACTTGGGGATTATTCTGTAGCTTCAGTCTACATATTTTAACCAAGGATTTGTTTTTTGTTTTTTTAATTAAACGTGTTTACTTGTGCATAAACATAACAGGAAAAATTAGCTTGTCTGTTGTTTTGTTTTTCAAAAAATATTGCATTAAAAATTACAAACATTAAAATTACATTTGAGAAATTAAATCCAATTTAATTTCTGATTATCAGAGTTTAGAGTGTAGACATCAGATAGAGTTGCCTTTTTTGTTGTATAAGAAGCAATCAGATATTTTTCTTAAAAGGGTCTTTGTTGCAGTTATACTAATACTTAATTTACTTGTGCAAAATTTAAGGCATTATGAATATGGTTGTGTAAAGTATATTTAATGTCCAAAAGTGTCTAGAATTGCATTTTAGAGCAGTGGAACAGAATTAAAACTAACACTTTCATTGGCAGCAAGCCTGTGATCTTGCAAAACTTTACAGTTAGAAAAAGAAAATTTCATTTTAGATCTAATTTTATTTCAGTTGTTGTTATCCTTACTGTATTTTTTATGTCTGAATTTTAAAAAATAAAATAAAATAAAATAATTTGAAAAAGTTGTAGGACCTTGCCGATGCTATTATTAGCATTTAAAAATGGGGGGGGGGGGAAAGGAAAAGAAAAAAGCTTTTGGTCTTCTGACGGTGGTGATAGAATGTCCGAGGTGCTCCTGAAGGCATCAAGTAGAGCTGCCACCACGCCTCCCTGGAGCTCAGAGAGACGCTCCAAACAAAAGGCAACAAAACCCGGCTTTTCGTTTCCATAGGCGTGACAGGTAGTGCGTGTCGACAGCTGTCATTGAAACAATCTAAGTCTTTACTCAAGACACTTCGTGTGTTTTTTTGACTGCGCTGTGAGAACAGGGTAAGTAAACTAACAGTTCTCAGCTTACTGTTTACACGTTATCATCAATTAAGCTCAAGTTTGGTGTCCCGGCTTGTTCGGTGACAGGATGACGTTTAGCTGTTGCCCACGGAAACGGACGTATGCTTTGTGGTGTTAGGACGATAATTGAGCATTCCCGTTGATAGTTTGTGCTGGTGTTTCTGAGCATAAGTCTAAGTGGACGGCTAAATGTATTCACTTGTCTTCATTAAAATTGGCCTGCACAGGGGGATTATTTAAGGGCTGCCCCAATATTCGCCCAAATGTTGGTTTAGAGCCCTTTTCAGGTTACATTTAAGGTTCTGCAGTGTTGTAACTGTGAAAAATCTGTCTGTGTCCTGATGATGGTTTCCATGACAAGGGAGTGGTGGTCATGGTTACAGGCAGTGTTGTGTGTTTCTTGTGATGTTAATGGATTAAACTGTACATAATCCATACTTTGCTGATAAACCCAGCATCACAGTTCACCTCATGCTGTTTCTGAACCATCAGTGTCACTTGAACCAGTTGTTGTTACTGATCCAGTGTTTATATTGGTTTCGGCTGAGCTGGAGCTGTCATCCACTATGTTCAGTCTTTCCAGTCTTTATTGAGAATGTGGTTGTGTCCTGGTTTATTAAATAAGCATTTTGGGATGAAGATTAGTGTGTTCTTTATTAAATGTGTACCCTTTAACATGATGGATTATATGCTGGATTATAGCTGGTGTGCTGGTATCTTAAGGCTTTGGTTTTTACCTTGTTGTGTGCTTAATTATTTAATTGCTATTGCAATATTCTCCCTGAGGGGGAACTTTAACTCACTCAAGCTTCTAAAACGAATTGATCAAATGTTCCAAACCCGATGTTGGGAAATGCCCTTCAAACAGTGGTAGCTTTGTGGGAACTACCAAATAGTAAAAAGCTATTTAGAGAAAGGAGATTGCTGTTTGTCCTGTAGCACATGTCCCATTTTTCTTTTCTCTCAGTTTGGGATTTATTCTTTATTCTTTAGTTAAGGTTTAATTAATTGGAATGGTTTTTAAAACTGATTTATATCCTCCTAAAACCTCAGCAATTCTTTTTTTGTCCTCTGTTAGGGATATGAGTCTAAGACCTCTACATCAAGTACCATGAATGCAATCTATACGAGTCCTACTTTACTGTCAAGATGACATCCTGGTCTTTCTATTGATCCCAATTTGTTCTCTGTCAATTAAATTTCAATCATACTGAAAACTGGTTGAAATAATTTTTTTGGATGAAACATGAAAACGGGACAATACTGACTGAGACCACCAAAGAGGTGGTCCTCAAGCTACATCAAGCTGAAAATGGGCAACCAGGTGTTTTTAAATAAACGTCAAAGCACACAAACCACCTGCAAAGGTTTATCTCTGAAGGTAGCATTAAAACCAAACATTAAAAACACCAGCTTAAATCATTCTTCAGCATATCTGTGTTCACAGCATGACTCAGATAACCTATGCTCTAAATTTACTGGCTCCTAGTTATAGATCGAGACAGATTCTTCAAGCTTACTCACTCCAGAGTAATACTTGATCTTCATGCCTCAGATAAGGACGGAAAGAATAAAGCCTTCTGAAAGGTAATGTAACAAGGCTGCCTCATTCTGCTGAGGCAATAGAAATTTCCTTCACAGGCCAGTGTCTTGTGCGGCAGAGCCCTACTTTTTACAGAAATTCTTATCCATACAGTGGGGGAAATAATTATTTGATCCAGTACTGAATTTGTAAGTTAGCTCGCTTCCAAAGAAAGGAGCAGTCTCTAATTTTTATGGTAGTTTTATTTTTAAAGGAGAGAGACAGAATATCAACCAAAAATCCAGAAAAAAAACACATCAAATAAAAGTTACAAACATGTCGTTGAATGAAACAAGTATTTGTTCGCCTACAACGCAGCCACAATTCTGGCTCCCAAAATTTCTCTATATGCTCACGTGACAAACAATTTACAGTATATTACAGATACTACTAATCTCAACTTGTTTTGTGTACAAAGCACTTCTGTCAACAGAATCAATTTCTTCCATTCCAACCTTTCCGCCAAAGTGGGAAAGACTAAAGAGGTGTCAGAGTATGTCACGGGAACGCAAGACCATCAACAATGATGAGAACGTGACAACTGCTCGTGCGATTATTCAGAACTGGAAGAAATATAAAATCGGTCACAATCATGCAAAATTTTTCCTCGTAGGGTGAAGATGATTATGAGAAAGATGGTGGATCAGCCAAAAAACACATGAGAGGAGCTTGTTAGTGATCTGAAGATAGTTAGGACCTCAGTCACCAAGAACACCATCGCTAATGCACTATACTACATAGGAATGTGGTACTATAAGTTTCTTCTGCTCAAGAAGTTTGACAGTGAACATCTAAATAATTCAGTGAAAATTTGGCAGAAAGTGCTGTGGTCAGATGAAACTAAAATCGAGCTCTTTGGCACCAACTTGACCCGTCGTGTTTGAAGGAAAAGAAATGCTGAGTGCGATCCAACGAACACCATCCCCGCAGTCAAGCAGAGAGATGGAAACATCGTTTAGAGCTATTTTTCTCTTAAGGGTACAGGATAACTTCACCGCACTGGTGGTTGAGAAAACTGCCATAACTAATAGAGACTGTTAACCTCATTGTAAGTGAGCAAACCTACAAATTGAGCAGCAGATGAAATAATTATTTCCCACACCGCTATTGTGTCTCAATTGAAGATTAATCAATTTTTTTTTTTTAACAACAACAGCAACATGTTGCTTTCAACCATAATGCTGAAATTATCTAAAAAAATCTAGATATCAAAACATTTTTTCAGCAATCTACTTTTTCTTCTCTCTCTCCTTTGTTAATTTTTTTACTCCAAAGACCAACTATATGTTTTTAATTCAGTGCATCCCTGTTGAGGGTTATTTTGTGTAACTGAAAGGCAGCAGTTTTTGGCTTCATGTCTGTTTTGTAGCTCTTTTCTGCAGTTCTGAACAAAAGCTTAGGGTTAGAAAGAGCTGGCTCCACTTTTGTTATACAATTTTAAAATAAGATGTTTCTGTTTCCACAGCTGTGTATGCCTGTGTGGCTGAAATCTTTAACCTAAGCAAGTACAGGAGACAGTCTGATGAGAGAATGTGCTACTTGCTGTTCCTCTGTTGTTAATGCGTTTCTGCACTGCACTCTTTCTGACAGCAACAGGCTTTCTACATCTGTTTTCTGTGCTATCATACAGTTGACTTTTTACACTTTGCTCATTAAGCTGTATGAACAACAGTGGATTGTGTGGGTAAACTCTAGACTTGTTAAAAACCGGTTGTGTCACTCGTGTGGTTATGGATGCCATTGCTAATCTGTATGTGGAGGAATCTGCAGTCTCGTAGGAACACTGTGGCAGCGACGGTGCTCAAAAAGACACGGGAAAAAATGTTTGACAGTTTGTCAAGTAGACACAAGGTTCGACACAAGGCCTTCCTACCACTGCCCATCTAAAATATACCGTCTTTGGAATTAATGTTATTTATTCGACAACATACTGATTGTATTTGAGTGTCCCGTTTGCTGTGCGCAGCTCTGCTGATTTATCTCCTGACTAATCTCAGAGGCAGATGTCAGTTATGACAGTTACGTGAGTAAAGCAGATTCGGCGGCATTAAGAGTTAAGAGGGTGAATTCTGGTCAGATGACGAAAGCGTGATGTGACACTTGGAGATCTGCGGGGCAGGTGTCCAAAGACAGACATGCACACTATCTATGCCCTCTAACACCTCGTCACGGTGACAGTTACCCCGCACGCTGGGATGCATTAGTAGTGCCAGCGCACCACATCACACGCTGTGCTCTGCCTAGTGTCTAACTCGCGTTAGAAAAAGGAGAGGAAACGTGGACTTTTCAGCTGTATCAGCGAGGATGTTGGTCATTCTTGGTGGATAGTGACGTGCATAGCTATGATGAATGTTAAAGTGAACGTTTCTTGAATGACATTTGTTTGACAGTGTTTGTGTGCAAAGATGCCAGACACTTTACAGTTTTTGTTTTGTCAGCTTTTAGGCTAGCTCAGAGTTGGTGCCTTCCATCTTTGAAATGTGTGTTTCAATGCATCAACTATCAATGCATCAGGTCAACAAGAACTGTTACAAGTTTTTAAGGCTGATGAGGAAACTCAAATCTGATATTTGTTAAGCTCTACAAATGGCCGATTATGCAAAAGTCAGCGAATAATTGTGCTGAATAATCATGTTCTCGATATTGACCGTTATGACTATTCAGGCTTTCGCCATATTGGCAACACCAGTGGATCCTTTATTGTCAGTTTATGTTTCCTATTAGGAAAGGGTGTGTAAAAGGGTGTGCATGTTCACACTCCTGTCTGTGAAAGGAAGAAGACACGCTCTATGTCTGGAGGTGGGCCAGTTTAGGTGTGGACTGGGTATCATTTCCGCTGTTTATTAATGCTGTCATTGTTCAGGCTTCTCTGGAATGTCATCTTGAGTGCATCGCTGTTTAGTGTCACAGCGGGGACAAAGGGCAGCAGTCACAAGCGAGACTTCTTGGCTGTTGACAGGTATTAGTCTGTCAGTAGGAAGTATTGTATTTTCGATTTTTCCAGACGTTTATCTTCACAGTCCTGAATTACTCCATACAGACTTTTTTTGTGCTATTAAATAAAGTAACAGCACTGTTTTTAGATTGGAAAAAGAACTCTCTGTATTCATACATCTTGGACTGCCAGAAGGACCTTAGATCTAGTGACAGTCCAGTACTTCAGGCTGGTAACTGACAGCAAATTGACAAAATTGACTCGCACTTTATCAGATTAAACTGACTCAATAATATGTACGAGGTCAGATGAGCTGTGAGTGTGTGTATGTGAGTGTTTGGAGGTAAAGATAAGGAGCAGATTGAACAAATGACCCTTTTGTTAGTGATTCAGAGCAGCTCACATGTTTGCTGCAGGGCTTTTTAAAAACCCTTCTTGGAATTTTGACTGCAGCTTTCAGTGAAACCTGATGAAGCATAAAAAATGTTGAATGGAGTTCACCATGTTGTTTCTTCTAATCTAAAATGTAAAATTTAGCACGTGACTATAGGAATCTGTGATCATGTCCTGCTGTTGTGCCACGTTTTACACTTTGATTAAGTGGTAGTGAAGCTAAGCCTGACTATAATGTTAAATAGGCCAAGTTTAAATTTATATTAAGGCGTTATATATTATATCTAATGCATGAGTTTTTGTGACTTTTTGAGACTTTCACATCATCAGTGTGCTCCCCCCCCCCCCCCCCATATGAAAAAAACAAAATAAAAATCACAACGCATTTTTAATGACGTAACAAATCTGATACAATTAAAACTCATATATGCAAATATTTACTTGATTTTATTTTATTTTATCAGAACGTAAAATAAAGTAAACAGTCTCATTTTAAAAAAAAAATTGAATTTTCTGGCAATTATTTCATGGTTCAGGCTAAAAGGTAAGTTTCTTCTCTCAACTTCAAAGGCTCTTCTCAGTGCTAACTCTCTTCCATGGTTTTTTCCTCATTCCTCTGTTTTTCCTCATGTGATGTCAAATAAATCATCTATTTGAGGGATTACACAGCAACCAAAGGGTTTACAGTGCTACAGTAACATTCCCTGTTTAGATTAGACATTTTTAGTGGTACTCCATCGCACTCTGCCATTACTGTGTGTGTAGCATGAGGGGAATAGTGGTCTCTTCTACAGAGTCCTTGTGTTTAAACTAACTATAGAAGCCTGTGAGTGTGTTTACATGATCTTAATGGGAATCTGTAGCCTGACTGAACATCTATATAGCTTGTGATTGATGACTGGATTATACGCAGCTCCAGAATGGCCAAATGTTCTATTCTTAAAAAGATTTATATCACAAATTCTTCTTCTGATTTTACTAATATAGATCGGAGGGAAATGAAAGCTATAAAGAAAACTGAATGAATGGCCATGCTAGCATTGAATCATTGTGGTCTAATAGGCAGAGGGCAGACGTTGGTATGAGCTGGAAAATCTGCTTTTTATATTGCGTGATGGTCTCATGTTGTGTGGATTTCATGTAAACTAACACAAACTGTTACCAGTATAAGGAGCTTGGCTTGAGAATTTTAACCCCTGTATATGGTACGCTGCCATGTGACCATGAAACTGGAGCATTGCGACGCGGTGGAGTATTAACACACAGCTAGCATATTTGTTTTGTTGGTGCAGCATTGAACATGTCAAAGTGTACAGAGGCGAGCCCCTTTCAGATGAGCGCTTCTTTCCATTGATCTGATGGCATCTGAACGCGTCGGGCTAGATGAGCGTCTGACTGGGCACTCTGGTTACTTTTCGCCACGGCAATCTAACTCGCTCAGTCAGAGTGTGAGGTGCGGAGGGAGCTACTGTGTCACATGCAGCACACACACGCTTACATTGATTTAGTTACTGAGATCGATATTAACATGTATAGTTACACTTAATGAGTTAATGCTTACAGTTTTCATTAATATAGGTGCAAAAAGTATTTTCTCACGAGTGCAATGGTGCTCTCCACCACTGTCACTGATGTATCGGACAGAACATTAAAAGTGACCTGTGTCAGGGTCACTGCAGAAAGCTTATGTATCCATGTTTGAAAAGCCCAGCTGCTTGCTTTTTTTGTGTCTTGCCAAATTGACATTTATTACTCAACATGCTGTAACAACAAGCATGAATGCACTATCAAAGCTGGTTGAAAGAGAGAATATTTTACTTGTAAAGGTGTTGTAAAAATGTTAATTGCATGTTATCTCTTACTACACAGATTTTATTTGAGTGGTTTTCTCCCTCTTTTGTGAATACATTCTCTCTGCGTTATCTTTTATGACTGGAGGGCATTTTTGGACTGTCATTAGTGAGCACTGCAGATAAATCTATCTCCCTCAGCTGTTCTACCATATTTGGCTTTGAGTGTCAAGTGGCCAGCAATTGGTTTACTGATTTCATCACCTGTCTTGTGATTGAGTCTTTGAAGCACACGGGGTGTGTGTGATTTAATTTAGCAACCTTTATGGGATGATAAGTTTGTTCAATTTTCTGCCTGATTAGATTTTCCACTTAATGGGATGCTTCCCCAGTTCAGCTGTAGCTCCAGCTTTCATGCAACAGTGTCTCTGTGTGTTTATGCGCAGCTGAAGAGTTTTGCTTTGGACATGTTGAGAAAAGTGATTAGCGAGTTCTTAGAACTACCCTGATAAACAAATGGGTAATGCAGTAAGCTGTTTGCAGTTCTACTTGTGCATTTTATTATCATTGATTCCTCCTTGTTTTGTGTTCACAATCCCTAGAAGTCACTGGCCAGTTCACTGAAACTCTTATTTATAATCCATCCATCCATCCATCCATTCGCTTCCGCTTATCCTTTTCAGGGTCGCGGGGGGCGCTGGAGCCTATCCCAGCTGTCATAGGGCGAAAGGCGGGGTACACCCTGGACAGGTCGCCAGTCTGTCGCAGGGCCAACACACAGGGACAGACAACCATTCACACTCACATTCACTCGCACATTCACACCTAGTGACAATTTGGATTAATCAATTAACCTATCCCCACAAACTTATACTTATTTATAATCCTTCTCTTCTAATTTCTCCCTCTCTGCTCTTTTCTCCTTCAGTCTCCTCGTGCATAACCACCTGTAAGAAAGCAGCTCCTCCACCAGTGCCACCCCGTACAACCTCCAAGCCCTACATCTCAGTGACCGTGCAGAGCAGCACAGAATCGGCCCAGGACAACTACTTGGACCAGCAGGACAGGAGGTCAGAGGTCAACAGCCAATCTAGCCACGCTCAAAGCAATTCTTCTGACAGCCTTGACAGCACCCGTGCCAACAGCCTGGCCCGGGGCATTCCCCGCCCTCCGCACATCATCCCCACTCCTATTGCTACCCCGAGAGAACCAATTGCCCCCGCTACTGCAAATGCTTCCACTGAGACAAGTGACTCTGTAGTCCAGCACGAACCCCTAAAATCGGGATTTAATAAAGGAAATCTTGCAGCAGAGGAGCCCCTAGTAGTCCCGGTGCCCAGGCGGAAACTTTCCTCCATTGGCATACAGGTACGACAGGGGTGGCTGTACCACTGTTGCACAGTTGTGTAGAAATCAGACGTTAACTACACATCTAACACAGAGCGGTGCCAATAGTCACATCCTTGACTGAAGTGTAACTCGTTTTGCCTGCTGAGCTTGAATCCAGGAAAAAGCTAATTTTGTTCATGATCTCTGTCTAAGTGTTTCCCATCAAACCTAAAAGTATGCCTGGAAGTTAAAGGTGTCATTACTGTGATTCTCGCTCTCCCATTACACCTGGCGAGAGCAATCTTTTTATTTATTTTTTATTTTTTCTGTGGTATTGAAGCCAAACCACATATTTTTGCTTCACCTTCTTCTCACTTTCTGTTCTGAAGCGGAAATATTTTATCCATTTTCCAGATCCGGCTCTCAGTGACTCATTTAGAACAACCTTTGGTTTCGACATTGTATTGAAACCAAGCATAAATTATACAGGTTTTTTTTTCTTTTCAGTTTTTCCACTAGTGTTTTGTTTTGTCACTCTGGAATGCCAGCTAGTAGCCATTGCTCGGTGCCATATTAATTGATTCGTGATCGTAGTTTTGACAAAACATTTGACTATATTTTTGTTTGTGTCATTGTTCCTTACTTTTCAGGTGGACTGTATTCAGGAAGTTGCACGAGAAGAGACTCCTCCCCTGACCAGATTTCAATCAATTGGAGTACAGGTGGAGGACGGGTGGCAGTAAGTCCTCTTCCTGTCCTTTTAACAACGTGAGGAATTTATATTATAGCCACACATACTCCTCTGACTGTTCTTTCCCTTTCCAGGAGCTTTGTAGATGTTAAAACACCCTCATTGTCTTTGTGTGTTGTGTTTTCAACATTGAACCATATTCCTATAATGAATATTAACTACTCAAAGATCCCCCCCGGGCATGTTCAAATAAACAAAAATATTAATCATGTGTAATGTAATGGGGGGGATTAATTACTCACCTAGAAATTCTTAAAAGCCTCCTACATTGAATTCAAATTGTCAAATATGAAGCTATTTTTTGTCGTAATTGAAAAGTTTAACTGCTGGTTGTAAGGCTCCTCATTCATTACTTTCTGTGAGTGATAATTGTGCAGCAGACCCAAATTATCTTAGTTTGCTAAAGTCTGTCTTTTGAACTCAACTTGTAGCAAGTAAATGTGAAAATAGTCTTGAAGTGTTGGACTGTGAACATGCATAATGCAGTTAAATGTGAAATGTGCACACAATTTAAACTTGCCACAGGGTGATGACTCACACTTTTTCTACAGATTATATTCAAGTGCTGCAGACAGTCTGGAAAGTGCAGATTGAGTGTTTTACGCATTTATTAGGCGTGTATACAATCAGGTATCTTGTATAGTAAGTGACTGTCTGCTTTCTTGTCTCCTTACAGTCTTTTGCAAAGTGCTTGAATATAATCAAGATAACAGAGAACAGGGCAAATGTACGTCTGTCTCTGGCAGCTAGTTTTGGCTACGCACCGCGGGAAACTTTAAATATGTCTCTGTTTAATGTGTGGTTAAGATTCATTTGTTTGGTGCAGTGCATTCTGTGACCTGTTTGTATTTTGCTGGTATTGTGCTATGTGACTCTGTTATGTCAGTTTTGGTGCAATGATTCTGTCATTCTTCAGGGTTTGTTTTTTTTTCTCCCTCTTCTTTATGTTTCATTATTTGACTGAACGCAAACCTCCTTATGTTCATTTTCTGACTGATAACCGTAATGGTCAGCCATTGCATCCATCATATCTAATCAGCCTTAGAAAAACAAGAAGCTAGAGTTCCAATCCTCACAAATCATTTGATGCTGGTCTGAGTGCATCATAATGTATGCAAGGCCCAGACTCCATTAGATCCTCTGTATTTATAATGTCTACATTCACCAGTGGAATTGGCTCACTGTTTAAACTAAGAAAAACCTGTTTGTTCCAGTAAGGAGTAAACGGGTTTTCTTTGTTAATGCTGTGCACATAAAATGTCACAATGTTCTTCTAATTATGAAAAAAAGCAAATTTATCACAGTGTCAAATACTTTTTTTCAGGCTCAGTCACTCCAGCAGCATGGCCTCAAAACACGAAACAGACTCAGACACGCAGGACATCTCTATCATCTCCCATGTAATTAATGCCAAAACCACTGAGAAGAAAGTCATGGTCAATTGTGCCAGTCAGTCCATGAGCTCCCCTCCTGGACGAGACTCTTTAGACAGCGCCGACCCCACCTCTTCACCTCCACCTCCCAGGCAGATTCTCAACCGCTCCACCACAAGAAGCAGCTCTTCCTCTTTCTCGGAAAGTCTGGACCCAGCGTTGGACCCCTCTTCTCTTCCACCGCCAGACCCCTGGCTGGACAGCGGGAATAACAGCAGTGTCCCTCAGAGCGGAGGAGGGGGAACGCTGTGTCGGAGGGATGGCCAGTGGTTCTTGAAGCTGCTGCAGGCCGAGACGGGACGCATGGAAGGCTGGTGCCAGCAGATGGAACAGGAAACCAAAGATAACCAGCTCTCAGAAGAGGGTAAGGATGGCAGGGTGCTCACTGTAACACAGTTTTCTCATTGTTTAAGTACCTCTGCCAGCTGGAGAAGGTTGCAGAATAGGAAAAGCATAAATCAGTTTACTTCGTTGTCTCAGATATGGTTTTGGTTGTGGTGACACATTTTGTTATTGTCTGGAACAGAGAGTGTTAAATTCACAGCAGAGCCTATGACTCCTGGGTATTGTTGTGTACCACAATGGCAAAATTACAGGAAGAAAAGCAAAATTTCTCAGAAATAAACATGAACTAATTAAACCTCGTGACCATAAACCAAATTCACAAGTTCATTGCACTACCAGGGATAGTTTTGTGTGCAGTAACATAAAGGAAATTGTTTAAAAATTCATATGTAAATCAATCGGGACACACTCCTGAAAAACATCATAACCCTGCGATTGCTCTGGTTTCCTCCCACACTCCCAGAATAATAGACTGAGCTATGGTGGCCATAGTTTTATCGGTCACATAAACCTTAACTAAACAGTCAGTTTCTCCAGGTTAGCTCTGTGATGGGCTGGTGGCCTGTCCTCTCCACTGCCCTAAGTTGAATGAATGGATGGCATATTCCAAAGATATTTAGGGTAATTGTGTCATGGCATATGCCTGTGTAGGTTCTTGTCCTGGTCATCGTTATTTAAGTAGCTTAGAAAGAGCTTGAAAAGAAAAAACTCAACTTTTTTGAGTTTATTAAAGACATTTCACCTCTTATCTGAAAAACTATGTTATGACATAGTTTGTCCAGTAGGATGCGCTCTTACTCTAGTATTTACAAGAGTCAGCAGGAGTAAGCAGAGTCTGCAGCACATGTAGTTGAGTCCACTTTACAGCTCAGCAGACCGTGGTGCAGAGGTGATTAGGGTTTTCATAGCAGGCTAAGTTGCTAACTGTGATCAGGAGTAGCTTTTTCATACATAAAAATGTTTTTAAGTAAAACATGTTTGTTCTTTATAGTTTTTTTTTTGCAGATAAAGTGGTTGCATATGTGTTACTGCATAGGGATGTTTTTCATTATAAGCTAGAGATACAAACAAACAATTAAAACACTTTTTTTTTTTCCATTTAAAATTTGAAACTTTCTATCTATGGTTGACATAGCCATAATTTAAGCCAGAAAGTTCCAGAAAGAGCACGCCATGGTTAAATGTCAAATCACTACCGAAGCGCTTCAGCTCAAGCCGAATTCTTCCAAACGTCTGTTGTTGTCTCGCTCCAGCACTTGGTGTGGAGCTCCGTTTATAGGGTCTTGCCTCAAGGCCTCTTCTCACTCTTATCAGAGTTGCACAGCATGGCAGGGATGAGGCGGTAATACCTGGGGTTACCGCACACAAACGGGCCTCTAATCTCCAGAATTACACAAATCTAGTCTGGACCTGATTAAACCCCCAGATTAGATTAATGCCTCCACATCAGCCTGTGGCATAGAGCAAATACACACAATACACACAAGCAGGGCTGTAGGTGGTCAATATTCAGACAAGGCCCTTTCCTATATTTGACATATACTCGTGTGTGTGTGTGTGTGTGTGTGTGTGTGTGTGTGTGTGTGTGTGTGTGTGTGTGTGTGTGTGTGATTTTTACAGTAAAATATTCAGGATTAAATCTGATGTCGAGCTGTTTTCCAGACCCAGGCTACATAACACTATAATCATAAATAGTATAATACATTTGAAATGCAGTGATTGAATAGAAGCCGCAATTTTGTCAGGACAGATGTTTGTCCTGATTTTGACAAAGCAAAAGACTAGCATAGTAACAAGTGACAGACAGAAGGCTGGGGTATCTATATAGGCTTACATTCCTTTAAATAGAATCACAATGTCCAATACACTGTAATCCCCTTCATGACATCCTGTGGAGTCTGTTAGATTCACTGTTTCCTACACCTACGTCTAGACCCTAAAGTTTTTCTTTGTATGATAATGTTCTGCACCAAAGGAAAAAAACCAGCAAGTGTTTACCCAGTGAGACCAACTGTATGCAGGTCAGTGTGTAAAGTGCCACTATGATTTCTGTCTCTACTTTAGGAGGTAGAAAGAAAGAAAAGAGAAAATCTTCAATGATTGTTACATTTTTTCTTTCTCTCACTGTAGTGCTGGGGAAGATTCGCAGTGCAGTAGGAAGTGCCCAACTCCTAATGTCTCAGAAGTTTCAGCAGTTCCGGGGACTGTGTGAACAAAACTTGGTGTGTACATCGCCTTTCTGTGATGATTCCACTTTGCAGGCTCGCTCACGAGACTGAAAGTCCCAGCTAGTTTCTTGTACCCGTTACCAATTTGGGAATTTGTTTTTTGTTTTTTTGTGTGTGTGTCCACAGCAAGAGCTGCTTGCTTTGATGATTACAAAAGCTATCACACATATGACAACTAATCTGATATACAGCATATTAGGCCTACACAAAACAAGTCATTGGGATCAACCCACACAAAAGAAAAGGAGCTTAAAATAAAGAAATAAGCCCTTGTTTTAGTGAAAATGGCTATATACCGCAGACTTTACAACAAATGCTGCAAAGTAAGAAATATAGAGCGACTACGCGGTTTATCTAGAATATATGAATATAGATCACAGCAGTGATATAAAGCTGCATAAATGTAGTGCACAGAAAAAGAAGGCACAATCTAAAAGCCAGCCTTCCCCAAGCATTACAAGCAGTGGCTGTGTGAGAGTAAAAGATCTCAGAGCAGCCTTTACTTCATATCGGGCAGTATCTGCAGGTTTAATCAGCAGAATAAACATAGAGGGAACAGTTTGATTTGACACTAGATGCTGAGTGGTTGCTTTCTAGATCAAAGTACTGAATTTATCAACGTGGGAGTTGGAAATGTATGATGTTATTGAAATGACTAAACCGTGCTGCGACAGTAGTCCCTCCAGCTCAACAAAAAGAGTTAAGCTGTGATGTAGCTCCCTCTAGTGCTAAATATGAAAACAACAGCTTTTCTGTGCCATAACTCTTGCTGGTCAAAGCAGGCAGTGCTATTATGCAGCTTTTGTCCTCCTCCATTGATATTTTTCTTCTTTTTCTTTTTTTAAATTTAATAAGAAGATAAAACTCTTGAGAATTAAAATACCTTTTGTGATCGTGCGTTGGCCAAGAGAGGCAGCGGCTTAATCAGCAGAACAATACACACACAACAGGCACACATTTGCATTATAAAATAATGGAGGCTCCTGGTTTGTTCCTCAACATCCTAACCCATTTCCTGTTATCTGAGGGTGCCGGTTTGGGTCTTCTTCCAGACCTTGTCAAATTGGTGACATGTTTGAATAACTTGCATATGGTTGTTTGAGCTGATGATCTTGGAATCTGCATTGTCTACATATGACTCCCAATCTAAACTGTAAATAGCATTGTTGTAATTCAGCTAAACACATATTAGCAGCAGTTCTTTCAAGCCTCAAAGGAGGTTGGTTTAAAGCCAAAAGAAGGGGAAGGGTCTGTTATAGTTAAAAGAAAAGAAAAAGGAGCAACCAAATAAGCTTTCCGGGTAAGAAACAGTGCTCATTTTAAAACCAAACCTACAGTCAGTGCTGTCTACTTTCTAGTCAAACAGCTGAAGGCTTCCATGGACAGTGGTGGTTCCAGCTGTGGTGAAACTACAATACACTGAGGTCCTGAGGTTCCAGTGACAGACGGAGTGTGATGTAAAGAAACCATCCCACCAAGATGATGGCACATCATGGACATAGATACCGCCCTTTTACTTGCCAAGATCATTTCAAATAGATTTAGCCAACTTTTACATTTTCAGTGGTTAATTTTATATTTATTTATTTATTTTTCATGTAAAATTTGTTTTCCATTTTCACACATGCATCATATTCCTGGACAAGACTTCTCTGGTACACTGAAAAGGTTGAAAACAGGCAAATTTGTCAGAATCCTTCTTTTTTGGAGCTTTAGAGGCTACACCGTGATAGCAGGAAAACAAACTAACCCATAACCAGAATGAGTTTGATTCACATTCTGGACAAAAACTCCAAACTCCAAAAAGAAGTTAAGTTGTTTGGGCTTAAGGGTAGTAATAAAAAAAAGAAAAAAGAAAAAACTGTTTTATTTTTAACAAGGTTTCATCAGCAGTGTAACACTTTGTACACTTACGCTTGACTGCAGTCAGCTTTTATATCTCATGATTCTTTTCTCATTGTAATATTCATTACAGTGTTATATAGATTACATGTATTGTATTGTTACTCCTCAATCATTTTCATCTCTCTTCTGGTTAGAATACAAATGCCAACCCACGCCCTACAGCCCAGGACCTGGCTGGTTTTTGGGACCTCCTTCAGCTATCCATTGAAGACATCAGCCTCAAATTTGATGAGCTGTACCATCTCAAGTCCAATGACTGGCAGCCCGTGACATCTGCAGCTGCCCAGTCAAATTCTGAGCGGAAGGTACTTCCCACCCCTGCTGCCCAGTGCCCTGGCTGGGGTAGGAAAGCCGCCGAAACCGGCCTCTCTCCTCCCACCACCACTACCATTGCTCCCACTCTTCTTTTACCCCGCATCCCCTTCGTGGGATGAACTCTTACAAGGCCTCCCTGTCCAAAGGGGCCAGAGTGATCCCTGTAGGCATGCATGGAAAAATTAAAACATCTCAAAGAGGGCTGACGCTTGTGTGTTTTTATGTATGAAGCCCTACTTTGAGCATGCATGTGTCATTTTTCTGATCTGTGTGTTGCAGCGAAGCATGGCTGAGATGCGCTGGTTCATGTGAAAGAATTCTGGCTTTTGTTATTTAAAAGTCTGTGTGCTTGTGTGTCCTTTGTTGATTGTTAATAAGTAACTGTGTGTATATGTGTCTCTGTGCCTGCATCTTTATGTCAGTGGCTGTTTTACCTGTCGCTGAGGTGCTTTTGCTTCTGTTGCTTGTCAGTATACGTGCATCGAGTGTGTCTTGTGAGCCTTATAATTTAAACTTAATGTAAACTCCCCATCAGTTCATGTTACCATTTCATGTCTTTGAAAATTTATATTCAAATGACTGTTTAGTCTTTTTTTTTTCTCAGTGTCTGTTTTTCAGGTGTCTGTACTGTCAGTGTCTCTGTTTATCATGTAAAATCACTGTTATTTCAATCTTAATTGAAGAGAATTAGCCCTGTTGTACTGTCTTGTCAAAGTCCTGTCTGCAGATCTTGTCTAAACTGATGAAAGACCTTGATGTTTCTTGATTACATTTTCTCACTGGATGATATCTGTCTTTTTTTCCCCCCCCTTATCTCCTCTTTTCACACATTACTCTTCCCTCTCTGTCACTTTCTGTCACTCCCAACACGACAGGACGAGGAGAAGGCGGCGTCAAAGAAGCCTGGTAAGGTACGACCACCGCTGGGCCGCGAGAAGAGTGCCGACTCTTCATCCAACTCTTCCTTGAGCTCGGCAGAGAAACAGCGACAAGAGGCTCGCAAGCGTCTGCTGGCTGCTAAGAAGGCTGCCTCGTTTCGCCAGAACTCGGCCACAGAGAGCGCAGACAGCATCGAAATTTACGTCCCTGAGGCCCAGACTCGTCTCTGAAAGAAACTGTGAGAGAGGGCCGTTGGGTTGGAACAAAGGACAGTTAAGTGTCAGTTAAACACCTGGAGAAAGGAGAGGAAGCTTTTGCAATGTAAATGAGTCATCTCAGTGAAGATGGGTACGGGTGGAGGGAAAAGAGTGGGGAAATTCCTGAGTTTGGAGGGTTTTGACACATTCATACAATAATAGGCTGGTCCTGGTGACTTCAAATGAGCAAACAAGTCATTGAATATTTCTCGGACCCAACGGACTTTGAAGCAGGAGACTCCTCATTTGAGTCTTGCCATTGAAAACCTCAGCTGATGAACTTTATCTTTTCTTGTTACTGTTCTTGATATCATCATAAAAAATTGTTAATGAAGGTATTGTTATAATGACAATTATATCCTAAAGAATCTATATGAAGACTGTTTTAAATGTTCCTGTATCTCGGCTATAAGATATTTTAAGCAGACAGAAGGCAAGCGTTTATGCTTTTCTGTCTTCCATCGTCCTGCTCTCTTCCCAGACCATTGGCCATCTTGTAGCTTTTGCACAACACCGCCTTGTGGCCATCACAGACACTGCACACATACCACAAACTCACCTCTGTGTGTCTTCCTCCTATTTATTTGTTTGTTAACTTTCTTCATCATTTGAGTTATATAAAAATCAGTTTAGATCAGGTTATTACGAATAGTTTTGGTGTGATGAAACTGAAAGTCAGGTTTAAAGGGGTATTTGTATAGTTAGCAGTTACCTCTTGCGTATGTCCTACAGAGTCGATTGTGTCAAAGATGTTTTTTAACAAACTTTAGGTTTAGTGTCTGAATGGATTTAGAATGAGAACGCATCCCAATAATCAGGCAAAGCTTGAGGACATTTTAGGATACTACCGCTCGAAAGTTTGGGGGGTTTTTTTGAAATGTTTTTGTTTTCTTTGTTTTGTGAAGAGAAGCTCACTTGTTTTAAGCTAATGTAGCACTGACCAGCAGAAATGTCATAATTGGCAGCAATTAATTACAATTACCAACATTTCAGGCATACATACCTTCACTCCTGTGTTCTAATGGCATGATCTCTAATACCAGTTTGTCATATTAAAAGAATAATTATTAGGAAACCTCTTTCAGTTATGTTAACATAGCTGACAAAACTTGTGCCATTAACAGAAGCCATTACATTACATGCCATTACATTTAATGTTGTTTCTTTCACTGTGGATTAGATGTTTAAAAAGACATTTTAGATAACTAAAATTAAAACAAAAAAACTGGGGGGAATTTAAGACTATAACTGAAACAATTTTGTGAACTTGGAACACTAATAAATATATAGAAATAAATATATAGAGGAGATATCCTTAATTACTATCTGTTAGTTATGTCAAGAAGAGGCTTTGATGTGTTTGAAACTCAGGATCTCTGGACACTGTGAACCAGCTGCTTTCAAAAAGTTATGTGATTTTATTGTAATACTTGGACTGATTTTCCTAAATCTTGTCTTTTACTTATACAGTCCATATAATATTAATTTAAATGGACACTAAACCTAAACATTTTCAAAGAATAGAAATTACCGGTGAATTGAAATAAGAGAATCACCCCTGGGAAAATAACTGAAAAACAAACAGTCTACTCGGAGAAGTGCAAACCAGCTCTAAAGAGAACAGAAAGAATGAGATAAAAACCCTGTAGATCATTGCGCTGGAGATGTAAATCACTCATAAATCAGAGTTTCTAGTCTTCTATTGGCAGCTTTATAAAATGGTTCCCATAAGAGCCAAATCATGTTGGTTTGTGAAAAGAACAGTACACACTGTTTAACTTTTCAGGCATGTAATAGGTAGTTCCCTTTTTTAAGAGCGTTTTGAGACTACTCTAAAACCCATAAAGGCTGATCTATCAGGCTCTTAACTATCCAATATTTTTAATCAGAATCAGAATCAGAAAGGGTTTTATTGCCAAATGTTGGGCAGGTTTACAAGGAAATTGCTGCGGTGCTTCAGCGATACAGTTTTCATAACATTATCAAATAGGTCAGGAGCGCACTGCTTGCATTACCAGTACCATGTTCGCTTCTCGTGTTAAGTTAGAGCAGTCTGCCTGAGAAGCACGAGTCAGCACTCTGCATCTAAAGACCCAGAGTGTCAGGTTTTTTTTTCTCCCCAAGTGAAACATGCAGCTCTCAGCAAAATCAGTGAAAAAAATAATCTATTTATAGTCATGTTGTCAGGCTAGCAGCACTATAACTGATATTTTTGGTATAATTTAAAGATGTGGAATATATCTGAGAAACGTTTTTCACAAATGTGGAAAAATGCAAGCTAAATAAAATGTCATTAATCCGATATAATATAGGAGATAATTACCAGAAACACAACGAGGGTTATAATTATTTTATTATCGATAAGTTACCAGAATCTTTGACAGGGAACATCTTTCCTGGTGCATTCTTTCTTTCTGAACTGTGTGTGAGCCACAACACTTTATCGAGATAGCTGTCATGCATAGATAGAAGTTAGGTAGCTATCTTGCACTTGCTGATGTAATCTGCCACTGGAGCACAGGATTGATCCCTTGATATAGATTCCAGTAATGATTCATTAATACATTTTGATCTGCAACATTTTTGTAAACCTTTACTTTATACGCAGCGTAAGGTTTATCCTGCAGCTGCCCTAAATTAACAGTATTGGCAATTACAAAAATCTTTTTTTTTAAGTTCGTCTAATGGTCAGTCCACCGGCATGCGCACGCTCTTTAATAAAAATGATGTGTTTAATTCTAAATATAATTATTGTTGGTAACCATGAATTATCAAAGTTGTTGTTCTGCAAAACAGTTTTTTTTTTCTTTTTAATGAAGATCCCAATTACTGTTATTTGCTTGCATTCATGAATTAGTTTTTGTGATTGAATGTTATAAGTCTGATTAATTTCAGACTTGTCTGAGAAGTCCAGTGTACCAGCTCAAGTTTGGGTATATTTTGATTGGTCATTTTTAGTTTTATACATGTTTTCACAGATGTGAAGTGGGAAAATTACCTCAAACTTTTGAGGGGTAATGTTTACCCGACAGAATGACACGGGGAACTATATACCGAATATTTATTCCTGTTGTTGGGACGAAGTCTTTCACTCCTCCTGGTGTCTTTTGCCTTCTCTTTTCCACTACCTTAGCATTTTCTGTTTGTGCTGTAACTGCAGATACTTAAATATTTGACTTCTTTAAGTGCTTTCATCTAGGCTTCATGCAGCAGGCACAGTGAGCAGGTTTTGTGTTTCCAGAAGTGTTTTTTGATTTTATTTTGCTTCCCATCACTCAACAAAATAACGAAATCAAAGTTCATTGTTACATTATCTCCCCCCCCATCAGAGGAGCACCCAAAATACCTGCACTTATTTTTATTCAAAGAAGACTTTCTTATTAAAGCATTACATACATTAGTGATTGTGTTTTAATCATTTATTCAGTTGCTTTTTTTTCTTTCCACTGAAGACTGCGTAAGCCAAAGATGAATTCACTGTTTTAAATTCATCTTGTGTATTTAAATGTCAGCTTCAAGGAACTCAAATGTCGACTGTGAAAATAGATTAAGTACACTGTAGCCATAGCAACATATAGATTTAAAGATTTTGATAAGTCCGTGTTTGACAGCAGAACCAGCCATCACTTGTGGATCAAACCTCTTCGTTTGGTTCATGAACTTAGGAGTTTGCATTTTGAAAAGCATCGTTTCTGAAGTCTGCAGCAGCAGGGGCTGATTTTTCTTTTTTTTCACTCAAGAAAACATATGATGTCTCTGCCATGTGTTTACAGTGAAATTACATAGCTGGCATTGCATAATTTGCATGAAGGGGACACATCGCTTTGATTGCACATATCCCCTCACTTTAGATTTTTACACTGCGAGTAGCATACCGAACCAGCGAGTCACCCCTGACATGCCTTAGATCAACCACTGTCATTTGCCTGTCTTCCACTTTTAGTTGGTAAGCAAACAAACTCCAACTGTCCTCTCCTAATTACTTGCCACTGGCCTTAGCTGTTGCAGTGTCTGTTTCTCACCTGCTGTGAACCACAAGTACATAATTTGAATTGGAAATACCAAGTAAGCACCACTTCTTACTCTTGATTGCTCACCATTCTTTCGCTGTTGTGTTTGCCTGCTGGGGATGTCTCTCAGCCAGAAAAATGGCACAAAGGTGTCAATAGTTGGCTCCGTGATGGCTGTCAGTATACCCCCTTCCGTTTGACTGGGGGTGAATAGGGCCGTTAACATCTGAGGCCTACAGTGTGACTCAAACTTGGTGGTTGGCTTGATTTAATTTCTGACTGTCTGGAAGAACTCGTCTGATGAAATCTTCTCCTAAAATAAGCATAGATGTCTCTTCTATGTGTAAGCAGGGCGGCTTCTAGTGGATATATATGTATCAACGACAAGATGACAGTGTCTTCACTCTATGCACTCACTGCCATGTTTTACAATACCTAATAATTATGTAATATGTTACATAATTTCATGTATCGTTTTCTTTTTCTTCATATTTTTCCCCCACATATTGCTTGCTTGCACAAAACCGTAGGACTTGAATGCAGATAAAACACAAATGTGGCATCTCTGGCGCACTAAGGGGAGGAGGCCAGGAACACAGAGAAAGTTGTTCTGTGATCTGTTTCAAACTGAGAGTCGAGACTTTTTCCAGCCTGCTGATGACTGTCTGTGTGTGTTTGTTTGTGTGTGTGCATGTATGGGAAACCAGGGGATGTAAGTGGGGTACTTAAAGAGACAAAAGAAAGCTCATCTCATACATTTAAACAAAGCTGTTCTTTAGCACACAAATAATCACTGGGGCACACCTAGCTGGATTTCCTGGGTAGGTTTATCAGTTATTCACTCAGTGGCACTGTGGGGGG